GTGTACAAATATAGTGAACTGTGATTGTGGTCGACCCCATAGACCCTCCTTTGGTGGACATAACCGGAGAGGAGAGAGAGAGAGAGAATGAGATGGTGTGGTGATGGCTGTGATCAGCGTTTGGGTTCAGTGAGCGCGAGTGGGTTCTTGAGGACGAGTATGACAGAGTCGCCCCTCAGAAACATCTTCGAGATGTATCGGTCTTTGTTGACGGGCTTCGCCTTCTTCTTGGATCCCTTGCCAGCCTTCGGCAGTTCGGTCCACATCTCCTTCACGGACTCTAAGATCATATTGAGGTGTCTGTCGAAGGCCTTCACGCGTCCCAAGAGTTTGCGATTATTGCGACAATTGATGAGAACCTGAGTGTTGTTTTTGACGGACTGTGTCAACACAGACAGGGGTCCGGTGTTGAACTCCTCCTCCTCCCTTCGCGCCAACTCCTCCGGACTCATCTCACTCTTCGGCTTCTGCAGCAATGATGACGACATCCTCACCACTGATCACTTCACACGATGGCAATGCTCTCACAATTGGGATCAACTCAGCGGTGATGTTATGAAACGTGAGGCGAATCAATGGCTAAACGAAATGTTTTGTTGAAAGCATTGAATCAATAGTTCGTGCGTTCAGTCAATGTATGGCAGCACGAGTTACTAACACACCCTCTGCTCCCCAATTGGGCGCACGTTATCTATGACTGAGACTTACATGATATACAGGTTTGTATTGGGAAAGTATATGAAAACTATATAATTCACAAATATTGTAACAAACAAAGGGAGTAAATATTAAATAGATTTTTATTAAATTTATGAAAATTAAATTACCCAGTTAATATTTTTTAAAGTATCTAAACCAATTCTTAACCATGATGATAATCACAGTACAAAATTTTGAGTTCACTCCATATTGTATAAATATTACATGTGATTTAGTAAGTCTACAAAGTTTTTGTTGTTTAAAGATTAAGTTCAAAAAGCAATACTCTGACTTACTATTAGATTATATGAAAACATTATACCGCATAGATATGCTGTTGTATCGCAAATAAGACTAATTATAATATAATTAATTTTGTTTAAAACAATATTAAGAATCTATTGTAAAAGGGATTTAGTTTATTTTAATTTATAATTTCAATAGTTTTGTTACAACAGCTTATAATAGATATCACATTTAGCTCATAAGTTAATTTTAAAGTTATTATGTGATTGTATTGACGGCTACAAGAGGGTGATCTTGGAGTTGTTAGCTGATTCATTAATTAATCAAGGTATGATTTGATGTGACATGAATGAATATAAATTTCATTAAACTATAAATGTGTAATTTATAAAATTATGTAAGAATAGGTTACCATCATTGTTAACTATTTCTTATTTACAAAATATATAGATTTTATATGATAAATATACACTATAATTATAAATAAATTATAACTATCATTATATTTGTGCACAGCTTTTGAAAAATTCTCCATCAAATCGTTTAATTAAATGTTAATTTAAATGTTAATTTTTAAAAATAATTATTTAGTAATAAAGTTAATTTATTTCTGTTTTAATAAAATATTATTTTTTATTAATTAGTAAATTTAGTAAATCTCTCAAAAATCTAGTAATCTTTGTTTTAATCTAAACTTTTAATGAGATTCTATTTTAAGGGGAAATATATTTATATTATAAATAAGTTAAATATACTTTAATTACAATGCTTCTTATCTTAGACTAACACTTAATTATCAGATAAAAGATAAAATTCAATTAATTTATTTAGTTTTTATTTAAATGTTGAAAATATTATGTAATTTATTTGTAATAATTAAGAAGATCTTATTTTTAATATTCAATTTTATATGAAGTGTTAACATGAATATTTTGCAATTTTCATATTAGTCCTAAGATTAAATAATAATTTAAGGCTTTAATTTTTTGATATAATTTAAATATTTTTATTTAAATTTATTTTTAACGTGCTTTACAAAAAACACACAATAAATGATTTAATGGTTGATTTTAAAGATAAACCAAAGTAAGTAATATTATTAAATTGGTTACTATGATAATCTAAAACAATAAATCAAAGTTATTGAATGTTTGTTATACAGTATATTAAGTGGTGTATAATATTCTCGTTAAATTGAATGTCAAATAATAGGTTTGTTTTAAACATTAAATTAAGAATAAATTCAATTTTATCGCTAAAACAAAGATAAACTTTTTGCACACTTTTTATCTCAAAATAAGTAAAAGTGAACTCAAATAATAAGTTTTATAATAACATCCGTTTTCGGCTATAATTGAAACATATATTTCAGATCTTAATCTCTTGTTATATAAGTTTGTATTTATTTTATGTTTTCTTTGCTTCGTTTGGATTCAACTTAAAGAACAAACTCTTTAAATGTTTGTATCAAATGTTCAGACAATTCACACTTTGAATGCAACTTATTTTTGTAAATTTACTTTTATATAAATAATGAGCGCATTATTTGTAATTTGAATTATATATTGATTTATACATAAAAGATTTGTTTGCTTTCATCTATTCATAACTTTTCATAATCAATGTAAATTAAACTGATCTCTCTCTCTCTCTCTCTCTCTCTCTCTCTCTCTCTCTCATTTGTAAATATATAGAAAGTTGTTTGTTTTTGTGCTAATAATATATTTGAGTAGATAGATTGTGTTTTATTAATAAAAATGGTTCAAATTATGTGAAATTAAATCTGGAAATTCGTGATAATATACAGTTATACAGTATATCGTTATTAATATTCATAATACAATCTGATAAGAGTGGACACGACTTTAAGTCCAACATTTTATTTATTAAATGTGGTAATTATTAAAACAATTATGTAATATTTAAAATTTGTTAAGTCAAACTAAATGAGAATATGGTTGAAGATCCTAAAATAATGAAGAATATAAAAATTTATATTAAAATACGTTAATAATAATAATGCTTTTTGTGAAAAATGGAAACACAAAGACTTATTGTATAGAAATATTGAATAAAATAAGATCTAAAACTTATATTATACTGTATTTCTTTTGATGACAAATTCATTTGAATAGCATTTGTCTGTGAATTCATTGCCCTAATTGGCAGACAGTAAACAATATGCGCTATTAATAAGTGTCAATTTATAAGAAACTATTTTCACATTTATTCACAAAAAAGCAATTTTCGTCTCATTTAACAATTGTTGTGTAAATTTGTTTAATTGTGTAAAAAACGTCTGAATAGTTATTCAGTAATAGATATGAAAGGATCTGTTTTTCGCAATAAAAGCGGTCATAAGTGTGCGACATTTGGAGGTGTCGGTGCATAGGGAGAGGCTATGGTAGGAGTTGTGCTTAATTTGGGTCTTCATAATATGATATTCTCTATATTATAGAGAAGAGACAAATGTGTTGTAAAGCGAAATATTGTTGAATGTAATGACCTCTCAATAAACGACTAAATGCATGATAAGCATAGAGTTTGCCGTAATTTAAAGTTCGATAAAATTTACAATTTTTGTTCCGCTCTTATGATTGTATTTATACACAAAACTCATAACTCAACGAATAATACCATAAAAGCTGTTGTGAGACAATGTTTGGCATAATTTGTTCCGGAAAGCAATGGTTGTTGTGATGGTCTGTAACTCTTCTAATCATAAGAAGAAGACTATAAGTAATAGACATAAGTGTTGTTATGTGACAACTCAGCCAAAACACACTCCGATCAGAATACCCACCGAATTATGAATTACTCATAATTCTAATGACATGAACAAATGCCATCCGACAGACCCAACAGACCTATCGTCTCAGTCCTATTCGCCAATCCATTCGCATCTCATATGAAACTCCAGTACAATATTAGTCTTTGTTTATGCCGTATAGCCATACAGTATAGCTCTATCTATACCTTATGTCAAATGTCTTGCCCGGCCCTCACAACTCATGCAAAGCTAATACCAAAGGCAAAGGCATTGACTTCTATTCCTTCCAAATAAATATTCACAAAACCAATCAATTATTGCTATATATTATACTTATGTAGTTCATTATCAGTAAATTATTTTTTTCCAAAAATCAATTTTTAAACAATTAGTGAATCCATTAAAAGCTAGACTTTTGATATACGTACGGTAGACTTAATGGTTACTTTAGAAAAACAAAATTATTAATATTTAATATTGATTAGTATTTATTTGTTTGATTTGCTAGAAATTATAACCTAAAATAAAATATGGACAACTTATAAATAAGTTAATGATTATAAAAACATTTTTATTTCGGAATTTTCCGATTAAAACATATTGAATATTTAAAATAAATTCTCCAACTAAATGTTTGCTTACCTTTTACATGGTTACTTTAATACGATTAAACTTTATTTGTAGTTTCAAGTAAGATTGCACATTTAAATTGTTAGAGAAATCACTTTAATTGTAATGCATGAACAAGTATTTACTATTATAGAGGTTATGAGCAGCATTTATTTGAAATCATGAGTCCGGTGTCCATCGCATACAGTGACCAGTTCTCACTAACAAATATTTTAGCTTATTTTTGATAATTTATTTGTTATTAAAATTTACTGAATTAATTCATTTAACATGAGTTAATTTATAACAAAACCTTTGACTTTTATTTTTGTTTTAACTATTACTATCTAATAGAGTACTATTGAAAATAATATTTATAATAAGTAAAATACAGTATATACGGTAATAATGAAAAATTTGATCATTTGCAACAAACTTCGCTATATAAACTAAACATTATATATGATTTGAAATAATTGGCATAATAATAATAATCACAACAAAAGTTTTAGGAAAAATTAACAAAAAATAGTTTGAATAGATTTTCAACACAAACAGAATATAAGAAGAATTGTCGGACAAAGCGTTAATTAATGTTATAATGAATGAAAGTCTTAAAATAAAAAATATTTCATAAGTGTTTGAATAAACATATCGATCGTATCCTTAATATAACGACTTATTAATAGGCTTTTATTTAACAAACAATAAGACCCATTATTCTCTATAATAAAGAGTTTATTTCAATTTCCAAACGACTGATCATTCATACAGAATATAGTTATAATACCGGTATATTTATTTAATTCAAACTTTTACAAATTGGTTTTGGTTTTGACCAAAACTTGCATTAATTTGTTTTTGATATTTGAATATATGTTTAAACATTAATGAAATATCGAGAGTTGGGCTCAAAATTTCATTTTCTCGTCATTCAACTCGAAATATGAATACAAACGTTGGAAAAAACGATGCTTTCATTGAAAAGAGTAAAGAATAAAGTTTTGCATTTATTTTTCGATCGATTCGCTCTCTCACTCTCTCACACACTCTACACTCTCATCCCTCTAAAAGTTATGCATCTTTTTTCGCAATACTGTTCATCCCTTTATTGTACATCCCTTTGCAAACAACTATACATTCGCTTCAATGCCCGCAGGAATG